TTGAGTGATCCAACAATCAGGAAAATTAAGCTGATTTTTTCTTTCTATAACTTCATTTTGGTTGTCAAATTATATCCGCGGAAGTCTATCTAGGTAAATAAAAATAGCTGACCACCCACCCCCATTTCCCGGAACAAATAAACCTGAAACGGATATCGATCCTCTGATTCGCTATTTACCATTTATGCGTACTGTCTAGAAAGGGGTGTCAAATATCCACAGTTTGTCTGAAAAGGGATAGGCAATTTGAGATTATTTCTGTCTGATAAGGGGTAGGCGTTTGAAACAACCAGCTACACGCCCCTGTCAGTATTTTTGCAAGTACCCCCGGGGGTTGCCTACATTCGCACTCATCATGTGTCTTTGGTGAATGGATTTCGCACGTAGTTTGTTTCCATTTTTAGCTCCGCTGTCGACTTTGTCGAGCGGAGCTTATCATATGAGTGATTGTCCGTCGTCAGTCGTCGTCGTCCGTGTCAATGTTTTACTTTTTCGACTTCTTCTTGAAAACTACAAGCCTGAATGCTTTGATACTTGGTGTATATGTACCTTGGGTAGACCTCTCTTAGTTTTGTTCATTTCATGTTGATATCTTCAATTCTCTAATTTTGGTGAATATTTTTGTCATTTTTGGTAGAAAGTGATATTTTCGACTTCTTGTTAAAAACTGTAAGTCCGATTGCTTTGATACTATACATATTGTTCATTTTCTAAAGATGTCTTCCGTTCTTTAATTGAATTGTGCATTGCTAACAGCGGAGCTATCTCAGCCGATAGGCTGCTTGTTTAAAGTTTGTTATCGTTGTTCGTGCATCCTATAAACTTACAGTTTTTTTCTGACCCTCCCATGATCATAAAAACATTGAAACTATAACACTAGTTAAAATTATGATATAAAATTTTGATCAAAACAATATTACACTGACGAAAGATTTCCACTCTATTATCGATACACGTTGCCCCCCCCCCCCCCCGGTAATGGCGGCCGTGAGCGCGCCACCTACAGCGAAGGGGTAATTCATCTGCTTCTCGGACTGGTTATTATGAGCGAGTATGCATATGAACCACGACTTGCATAATTTAAAACACGCTCTCGACCAATCAGAATGACGTATTCAGGCAATTGAAACGATGATATGATGATTTAATGTTGCCTACAACATTATCATGCACGTGAGTACGGCAATGTTTAAATGGGCAGCTGACTGCCGAATCTAAATATACTCAACCCTGGTGTTTATCTGTATATTATAAGAATACTACGAGAAGTACGCAATCAGACAGTTTAGGAACACATTGATTTTTGCTATGTGCTGGTTGATATGATCCTGTACTGCCTTCTTGGATACTTTGCGGTATACTCATGATAAACATTATATTATACATCTTTTTGAAGCTTGTAACATAGTGACAATTTAATGAAAGATAAGAGCCCATAACTGCAATCAAAAAATGTGGAAACATTTCCTTAAGGCCCTCTCACCCCTAGCCCAAATCCTAACCCTAACAGTCCAGCCTCCAATGTAATACAATATGCCCCTCCAAATAACTATAAGTTATTGGATATCAGAAAACTGGTGTTTACGTCACCAACATGATCCACATGCTTATAATATGAAATTATTTATGTTGGTTACTTTTCAAGAAATAAAGCCAAGCACATCATATAACTATCTTTTTTTTCTTTTTCTTTTTTTTACAGCTTGAAAAGTATATTGTTTGTTGGTAATTTTAATTTAGAAAGTACTATCAAGGACTGAAGTAATAAGAATATGAAAATTGGATTCCGAAACTTTAACACATTATGCAAAAAGTTGAAAGCGCTGTCACTTGACTATGTGTGTTCCACAGAACACATCAAATGCAGAGGAGCAAGATATACATCTGTTTCCAGCAGCACTTTCCATGCGAGTCAACGCATACATAGACTGTTAGTCTCGCATTCTAAAGAGAGTTTGCATGGAAATAACACGAAAGTTGTCAAGTGCTTATCAAGTAATGAAGGAACTACAGATAAATACAATAAATGCAATCCACCATGGAGAATAGTGTTTTTTGGGACTGATGATTTTGCTGTTCAAACATTAGATGTTTTGAACAAAAATAGGTATGGTATTAGATTTATGGTACACACGAGTACGTTTTGCCTGTTTTTTGTGTGAAATTGTATCTGCTTTGATTGATTTACATTACTGAATTTGTCATGGTTGTGTTAGCAAGATATGAGACCTCATAACCCCACTAGTTGATAAATAAGTCCATTAAAATTGACGAGTTCTAATTTCAGCAACGTTTTTGATCCGTTCACCATAACTGAAAAACTAAGACTAGTAGACGTATTACTCTTTAATAGCTTGTTATACATCCACCAAGCAACTATGTTAATATAATGTGGGATTGGTTGTAACATGATTTACATTTTATTTTATAAAAAATATCTTTGTTTGCTTCTGATATTTATAATAATATGCATTTTATATAATTTGTCATATTTCTACATTCAAGGAAAGCTGAAAGTCCATTAGTTGGCGAGTTGGTTGTGGTCTGTTCCACAAGCAAGGTAGGAACTTGTAATCAATAATCTAAAATTTTATTATTTAATTTATATTCTCATTTAAATAAGTAAGTCTTGGATGTTAAGTTTTGCCAAATTCACATTTCATTTATTCACCACTGAAACAAACATCTAAAAGTGGCATTCTCATTGACTTTCTGTTAATGTGCTCGGCTGCATTTGTATGGCTATATATAAATGATCCTATTATTTAATTTCTCATCTGACAAGGTTTACTTTGCATCTGTAGGGTCGTAGGCGAGGGAAAACATTTGATATAATGTCACCTGTGCAACAGTATGCCATAGAGAACAGTCTTCCTCAGTTAATTTGGCCGGATGTCGGTGGTGAGAGATGTAAATATGACGTTGGTGTTGTCGATTCATTTGGTCATCTGATCCCAGACAATGTCATCAATATGTTTACATAGTAAGTGCTATTGCTCTCAAGTAGTCATTCTCGGGCAAAAATGGTGGCCATTTTTGTGCTAAAAAAATCATCAAATAACTAACATTTATGGATGGATTTTGTTCAAACTTCGTACATACGTTAGACATTACAGGTTCCTGATGCACGTCTTGTATTTTTCAGATCAGATTCAAAATGGCTGACTGGCGGCCATTTTCTTTTAATGAATGTGCTTCTAGAGCCATATCTCTGACATGCTTTGACTGCTTATGTTCAAATTTTATATATTCATTATACATCATGTTATAGATATATACATGTATTCAAAATGGTTGATTTTGTTTTAATTAATGCTGTTCCAGAGCAATATCTCTCAATGTGGACAGGTACACGTTTGACGATCAGATACAAATGTCAATCATTTTAATGTTAAACTATTATCATAATCATATTCCTGACATGGTTATATTCCAGCTATATTACTATAAACAAAACTATATATCTTGAATTCGATAACTAATGGGGACTGTGCCATGCATGGCTTGTTTCCTATAGGACGTAGTCCGAAACTAGGGCTCATCTTTGCATCCATCGTCATTTCTCGGAGACGCCCGGACAGATTTTCTTCAATGCTTGCTTTTTATTGTTTGACAAAGTCAAACTAAGTCATTGACAATGACTTGTTATCAAATTTCATGTGGGGAGAAGCACACTATGTAATATCAATGGGATTTTGTTTATTTTCCAATAAAACAGCTGAAAAAGCAAAAATTAATTCAAGTGAAAAGAAAGTATTTTACAGTATAGTACATTCCATTTCAGTGGATTGCTAAATATTCATCCAAGTTTGCTGCCAAGATGGCGAGGAGCTGCTCCATTGTACCACACAATACTGAGTGGAGATGAAGAAACTGGAGTAACAATTATACAAATATCTCCGCAGTAAGTATTCATAACGTCCATGACAGGCAGTTTTCTAAGTGCCATAGTCTTTGCCACCAAATGTTGATGAATCAAGATTTACTTTAGATTTAATAATGATTTTAAAAAAATCAAAAAATATTTCAATTTCTTTTTTTCAGATTTGATGTTGGACCTATTGTCATGCAAACAACTATTACTGTTCCACATCGATGTACGACAATTCAACTTTCAAAGATTCTATCACAGCTGGGATCGAATATGGTAATTAAAACCAGAAATATTAAAAATATTGATATTAACCATTTGAGTGCCTTTTTCAGATTTCATCACCATCTAAAATTAAAACACGCGTAATCCAAAATTTTGTTAAATCCTTGTAGGAAAATATGTACAAGTGGCCCAAAATTATCAACAAAATTACCAAAATGTACTTAAAAAAAAAATCGGGGAAATGATTTTAGCAAGAAAACGTCATGAACTTCACAAAAAAAGTTGTTTGTATTTACTAGCTGTAGTTAATTTTAAATTATGCCAGTTTTATGTGCGTCTTCAGTATTCAGTCAAATGTCATCCGTCCTAAAATTATGTACAGACTAAACAATGCGCTTCTCATCATCATCAGCTAAAAAGAGAAAAATAAAACAGCATGAGCATAACGTAATATTTACCTACCTTTGAGCTCCAACAAAAATACTGAATATTCCTTGGGCCAGTTCACATGACCCACCAGCAGTAATTTAATTTTCTATTGTAGCTTTTACAAGTATTAGATGATTTGCCAAGAAAGATTGAGAACTCTGTGGTACAACCAACGAATGGAGTAACATTAGGTATGGAGTAATCATATTTGCATGAAACCATGTGTTCATTCTTTGACCACAGAAGAATTTTTTTCGTTACACAAAATCAACATGCGTTTATTTGTATCCCACATTCGTGCAATGCACAAAACTAGGGCTTTTATTTTAACTTTTGTTTATTCTTTGTGGTGTTCCTGTACAATGATTTCGCATACTCTGTATGAACCCAACATATGGTGGATTGCTTGTGCATGTTTCTATATATATATATAATTGTTCATAATTTTTTTTTTAATAACATAGTATTTGCTGCAGTAAATTTTGCAACTTAGTAAATAAAAACATAATTTCTGCAGGGTAGTGTCAATACATGCCATAGTGCTGAATATTGATGTATACTTTTGTACTACTCATTGTTTCAACTCCGGGACAGAACTTTTCTTGGTATCCTTTAATATTTCTTATAATTACTGTTCTTGTATATATGAAACAATGTTATAAGATTTTGGCTTTGAGAATGGGTGCCCCCTCTCTATACGAATGGGGTCCCCTCTCTATGCGAATGGGGGCCCCTCTCTGTGCGAATGGGTGCCTCCTCTCTGTGCGAATGGGTGCCCTCTCACTTTGTGAATGGGTGCCCCCTCTCTATACGAATGTGGCTCCCTCTCTATACGAATGGGGTCCCCTCTATGTGAATGGGGTCCCCTCTCTATGCGAATGGGGGCCCCTCTCTGTGCGAATGGGTGCCCCCTCTCTGTGCGAATGGGTGCCCTCTCACTTTGTGAATGGGTACCCCCTCTCTATACGAATGTGGCTCCCTCTCTATACGAATGGGGTCCCCTCTATGTGAATGGGGTCCCCTCTCTATGTGAATAGGGTTCCCTCTATGTGAATGGGGTCCCCTCTCTATGCGAATGGGGCCCTCTCTGTGCGAATGGGTGCCCCCTCTTTGCAAATGGGTGCCCCTTCTCTTTGCGAATGGGTGCCCCCTCTCTTTGCGAATGGGTGCCCCCTCTCTTTGCGAATGGGTGCCCCCTCTCTTTGCGAATGGGCGCCCCTCTCTGTGTGAATGGGAGCCCTTCTCTTTGCGAATGGGGCCATCTTTCTTTGAGAATGGTTGGTTAATTTTCTCGTCTTCTGTTTATTGTTGTTGTTTAGCCAAGAAGATAAAAACCGACATGAGTTGGATTGATTGGTGTAACTATAGCTGTCGGTTTATTGACAGATTACACAGAGCCATATCTACACATGTACGTACCTCTCCAATATCTACTGAGAAAATTAAAAAATGTTTCATTTCTATTTTATTGATTTTTTTCAATACCACACAGCAAGATTTATGTTCATTGTTCAACATTCACAAAATAATTTCAAGTACATGCTTCAACGGTTGATTTGGGTCCACAAAACTTCCTCTGAGACAGAAAAACTTTTTCCAATTCTACTATAGCTGGTGCACTTCAACATAGCGCAAAATTAAAGAAAATAATTTTGTGAGGCGCAGATTTCAAATTGACATGCATGGTGACAACAAACAAAACCTTACTTTTATTTATTATATTATATTATATTTTAGTTTATTTATTTATTTATTTATTTATTTATTTATTTATTTATTTATTTATTTATTTATTTATTGCTATGCCTGTTTATTACTAGACTGAATGTGTCACTTTTAACTCTTATCTATTCACAATTTTCTCTCCTCAAGAAAATGTAATTTAATGTTAATTAATAGTTTTTAAATAATTTTTATCCTGTTTATTTTTCCAGGTCACACTGAGGACATTATGGAGGGGGAAATTACTAAAACTCTATAATATGGTGGACCTGCATGTAACACAAGGTATGAAAAGATATACGTAGTGCACACACACAGTTTGTAAATTGCTATTTGTGCGAAATACATATCCTCAAAAATTTGGTTGAAAAAAATCATGAAATAGATGTAGTTGTACTGAGTTGTGAAATAGATGTAGTTGTACTGAGTTGTGAAATAGATGTAGTTGTACTGAGTTGTGAAATAGATGTAGTTGTACTGAGTTGTGAAATAGATGTGGTGGTACTGAGTTGTGAAATAGATGTGGTGGTACTGAGTCGTGAAATAGATGTGGTGGTACTGAGTTGTGAAATAGATGTGGTGGTACTGAGTTGTGAAATAGATGTAGTGGTACCGAGTTTTGAAATAGATGTAGTTGTACCGAGTCGTGAAATAGATGTGGTGGTACTGAGTTGTGAAATAGATGTAGTGGTACCGAGTTGTGAAATAGATGTAGTGGTGCAGATACATGCAGGGTTCAAATAATTGTTTGTTTGTTTTTTTCAGGATTACAATTGCCATTGGCTGATGTGCATCCCGGTGTTGTCAAATATCATAATAAACATGGCATATTATGTATTCGTTGTCTGGTAAGATTTTTTGTTATGTATTATATATATTTTTTTATATTATATTTAATTGTTTATTTATCGTCTGTAAATGTTGCTATTAAAATCAAATTTAATACTTCAAGCTATGGGTTATATTTTAGGATGTAATGATTTTGCTGTGTACAAACCACCTAGACATGTAAAAACCACCTAGACATGTAAAAACCACCTAGACATGTAATCACTGCCTAGACATGTAAAAACCACCTAGACATGTAATCACTGCCTAGACATGTAAAAACCACCTAGACATGTAATCACTGCCTATACATGTAAAAACCACCTAGAAGTGTAATCACTGCCTAGACATGTAAAAACCACCTAGACATGTAATCACTGCCTAGACATGTAAAAACCACCTAGACGTATAATCACTGCCTAGACATGTAAAAACCACCTAGACATGTAAAAAACACCTAGACATGTAATCACTGCCTAGACATGTAAAAAATACCTAGACATGTAATCACTGCCTAGACGTGTAAAAACCACCTAGACGTGTAATCACTACCTAGACATGTAAAAACCACCTAGACATGTAATCACTGCCTAGACATGTAAAAACCACCTAGACATGTAAAAAACACCTAGACATGTAATCACTGCCTAGACATGTAAAAAATACCTAGACATGTAATCACTGCCTAGACGTGTAAAAACCACCTAGACGTGTAATCACTGCCTAGACATGTAAAAACCACCTAGACG